TGTCGATTAAAGTTGAAATTTTAAGTAATCTTTCTGTGTTATTAGTATGAAATTTCTACAGTGGGCGATAAAATAATTACAAAATCTTTAACTGTTCAGTATAAAACGAAATGTGTTAAAATGCTTTAAAACTATGAATACTAAAAACATATTGTGTACACATCAATGTCAAACTACCATAATTATTATATATTTATAATAAATATAATTTTTTCTCTGATATTTGTGTATTTTGATTGTTTTTTTAAAGCTATTTTATTAATATTTAGGTATAGTCAAAAATAATTGGCATCACTCAATACTTATAACAAAATGATAAATATTAAGAAAGTATGAAAAAATATTGATATTACTAATATTATTTACGTATTGTCTGTTATAACTATAGACCGTGTTTATATGGATTTTAAATTGTAAAATATGCAAAACAAAAAAATGATAAAACATGCATAAAAAATTTCTATTTCTATTTTGCAGCACTAATTATTTATTAATTCAATTTTAATATTTTTAAACGAAAAATAAAATATATAATGTAATACAGACATGCAAGAAAGTAATTTTTTTAATTATTATAATTTAATTTTTATTCATTAATACATTGCATACCGATTAAATACAATTTTATTAAACCTGACTAATTTAATTCTATGAAACGTAAAATATTTTTAGTATAAATCTATATTTTTTTTTCAAAACAGCTTCCTGGAACGTTAGTTGTATATTTGTAAGGTTTTTTGTTAAAATGTTCAAAAATATGCTGATATAATTATGATATTTAATCAATCAAGTAATGATTTTCGTGCACTCATTAATTGCATGTATATAATATAATGTATACATATATATTATGATGTTGAAAATGGCTACATGTGTTTTATGTTTTATGCAAAATTTGGACTTGAGTTAACTCTTGAATGAAAGATAATTTTGAGGTTACCTATATTGATAACTGAAATTATGTCATTTTATCTGACTAGTATTCAATTATTTAACTTGTTATAAACTATAATGTAAAATGTTCAGTCTAGTACTTTATTGAAAAATAATACATAGTTTTTTTCTTTATTAAAATGGCAGTATAAATTATTATAGCTGAAGGTTAATTTAAATTTGTATACACAATAATATGTTAATGGATAATTATTATTTGATTTCAATATTTAGTTTACAAAAATAATGTGAACAGATAAAATAAAGTAATTTCTATCATCATATATTAATAATGTTGGTGTTGACCAAAAGTTGTTCATTTTTTTAATGTTATGTAGCAGTCACTATATGTCTTTGAAATAATATTACTAAAAATTATTAATAATAGACTCCATTCTAATGACAAATTAAAATCTCTGAATCCTGATAGGAATATAGCTTGTTGAAATAGATCATAAGTTATTATTTACAAATTTTGAATATGTAATTTACATTAAAACCAGTTCAATTATCCACATTTATTTCAACTTTTATATTTCAATGTAGGTAATTGGCTGTTGACTATCATGTTAATGTTACAGGGTTATACTTATTATGAATATTTCATTAGATTATCAATAATTAATTATAAATGGTGATTATTTTCTTTTATGAGCTGTGAGTTTATAGCCTAAAATAAAAACTATTTAATAAAAAGTAATAACATAAGTTATTAACATATTAAATCAAATATAATAATTAATAAACACATTATTGCAATTATTCTTTAAAAACTACAATATTTTCAATTTATATCTTTTCAAATTTGCACTCAATCCTGAATCTTGATTCCCCAGGTTTCTAGATTGTGAAAAGGAAACATATTATAATTTACCATGTGTAAATAAATAGTATCATTACATCTAACAACAAAAATCTTTTACAATACTCAAATATGTACCTATTTAAAAAATATAATATTATATAATATTGATAGAATCATTATCAATTATGAATTAGGTACAAATTATACAATAAATAAATTTCAAAACAAAAAAAAACCAATAGTAGGAACTTTGATGAAGGTGTCCCAAAAAGTAGGCTTGTGTGAAGGAGCAGCAAGTTACAAAACAGTCATACAATATAAATTAAAACATAATTTAAAACAATATTAAACATAAATCCAAAATCCAAAATTATAATATTAAAAAATTACTAAATGCCAAGTTCAGTGTAACATATAAAATAAAACTTAATTCATAAAATATATAAATCTAAATTATTTACATAGTTTAAAAATGGTTTTTTATTATAAAAAATAGATTCATCAAGATTTAATCGTCTTATGAGACTAACATATTATGCACATAAATATTTTTTTCACCTAACAATTTCTTATTAACTGGTGTTTTAAGGTTTACTCCATGCTTTAATCTTGTGTGATAGTGATGTTTCGGTTTTCAACATTTTTATCAAAACAATAATATGAAAGAACACTAGAAGTATATGAACTAGATATATTTATTATTATTATATTTAAATCAATACATAAATCCGCAACATGATAACTATAGGGTTTTTCAATATAAATCACAAATTAATTGATTATTATTAAAGTTTATGCATATACATGCCAGTAGTTTTAACCCATACTACTGAACTACAACATAATATAGATTGAACTTGTACTTAAGATGTATTTACTATTATTAAAAAATTAATTTTAAGAATATCTCTTAAAAATAATATTAAATATTTACACTTTTTTACAATACCTACTTACAATTACTATATTTGTTTATGGTTTGGTTGCAATGGTAAATTGTTGTCAAAACTATTTTTCAAAATCTATGCTGTTACCTATATACCTAATGCTATTTTTAAGTTCAGAAATTGATGATCTGCGTGACTTATTACAAGCATTCGTTTTTGAGCTGTTTAATTTTGATTCAAATTTTTTTAATTTTATAGGTGAACTAATGGTTTAAATTGAGTTTCATAATTAATATATATTTTATAACGCACCCTTATTTGTAACACTTATAGATTATTAATGTTAAATTATCGATTATCCTACAGATGACCTAAAAAAGTACCAAAAATAACCAAAAAAAAATCAACCACCCAAAAACAAAATTACGATAACAAATTACCTAAACATTTTTTGGAGTAATTAAAAATGTATTTATTATTAAAAAAAATGAATTATCAGATTAATTGTACAATAGAATATATAAATATAATATTCGGTAAGCGTTTGCCTGTAAAAATAGTCAAAATATGTGCACATGTTAGCAATGAATTAATACAACAAAAACCTTCGATAATAGTACAAATATTTTTAAAGAAGTTAACATTGTTTCTGAAATCAAAAATTAAAGAACAAAATAACTATAATGAACAAAAATTACTTTTTATATGAAAATATGAACAAATTACTGGAGCAACTATAAGTAAAATGTAAAAATTCCAAATAAAGTTTTTATGTTCTGAATCAATAATGCATTTTTGAGCATGAAACAAATTTGAAGCTTAGTTAACATTAAATAGGAAAAAAATGCAAAAATTATCAACATCCTCTACAGAAAAAATATTGTTTAAAAAGTTAACTTATTTATTATTATATAGTATCTACTATCTAATTAATAATTATTACCTACTCAAACTAATATATATCAAATAGGTACCTAACCTATTATCTATGAACAAAATATAATAAATAAGCACCAATGAAATAACAATTACCTAAGTTACATTTATTTAAAAAAAATAATAGGTAGGTGCCTAATAATATTTTAATATAGCCTATAGCATTGATTTCTTAATATTTTGTATTGTATATTATAAAATCAATGCCTATAGGTAATATAGATATTATAGCCTATAGGAATTATAGGTACCCACTGCAGGTGTGATCAAAAACAAAAAAATAGTTTCGTAAGTTATTGTATAAGGAGATTTATTTAAAATGTTAGTTCTTATCATTTATTTATAGCTGCAGCTATATGGTTGTATATATTTATTGTAAATTAAAATTCGTTCAAAGTTCAACGAATGCATGTAACCGGCAATTTGATTCGAAACGGGGCGTATCTATGTTATGAAAAATAAAACAACACTGCTGCTATTCATTTATCATTAATTATCAATGACCATTCTCGAAATCACACGCGTCAGTTCAACACATATATGTAGTATGCACACACACAAGTTATATTATATATATATTATTATTAGTATCCACATCACACATTGTTATATTATGATACTGAATATTATTTTGTATTAATATTTAGCTTACATAATAGAAAATAGTCGGTGACTTGTATATACAGGGTGACTCACCAAGCATGTTCACCCTTTTTTTCTTCAATAATACAGTTATTCAAAATCTGATTATTTAAATTTTTAAATATATTTTAAGATACTATTTTTTAATTCTTGATATCTATTGGACTACTTAGGAGTGTTCTGTGGAGATACAAACTTCTGTTTTTTAAATGAGAACTATTCAACTATTTTTTTAACATTATATTTTTCTAAACTTGTTGATATTTCAAAATAAAAATTCGTACGATTAGTTTTTGAGTTATTTAACTTTAAGTTCTAAGGATATAAGGTCCATGTAGAAATGAGTTTTATAATATATGGTGGTTATGGCGATTTGAAAATTGTAGTCATTAATATTAACAATTTGTAAAAATGGCCCTAAGCATAGTAAATAATAGATTCAATTTCGAGTCTATTTTAAAACCATTTCTAAGGACTATTATCCGTAATAGTTAATACAAGCATTTTAATAACTAAGAAATTACTCATTCAAATTAAAAAAATTATCCACTAATTCATTTACACTTCACAGTTAAAGAGGGGGTTCTCTTTTGAAAAAAAAACAGAAGTTTTTACCACCACAGGACACTCCTCAAGTAGAACAAAAAAATTCAAAGATTTAAAAATATGGTCCGGGAAAATGTTTGAAAATTCCAAAAATCAGATTTTGAATAGATTCATTATTATTAAAGGAAAAAACGGAAGTGAGCATGCTTGGCGAATCACCCTGTATATACGCGATGGAACGTATAATAATATTAATATCAAGCGGAGCAGCGTCCGTAATAGAACGATCGGAGATGAATTCGTGTTCGGTATGACTGTTTGATTATGACATCTAATCACTTTGACCTCTAACTAGAGTTCATCGAAATCTGTTTGTTAAAAATAAATAATAATAATAATAGTGCCTAATGAAAAAAAAAAACGATGAACCGATTAAAGAAAAACAAGTCAATAACGACGGAGTGCTGTTGATTGGGTAGGTAGGTAGGTACTGTCATAATTATATGGCACATGCTGGGTGCATACACTTTTTTGAACAATAATAATATTGTATCATACATTTTATGAACAATAAATTGTCGTTTAATATTCGAATTGCAATTTGCTATGTATCGGCTGTCTAAACGGACTAAATGTAATGGACAGCAATAATTGTTTAAGACAATTTATTTTTATTTCATATAAAAGTTATTTAAAATTATTTTCACAGTATCTAATGGTTATTTAGAGCCTACAATATTGCATATACCGATTTGAATATTGAGAACTCGTTCGTACTGTACACTCCATTTATGTTCCTACTTTACACTCATTTAGGAAAAAAAAATGATTAAACACAGGTAGGTCTATACGAATGGCACAAGTAGATATTGTAAATTTAAAGATGTGAAACACATTTCATTTGCCGAAATGTTGGGTTATGGATTTATGGTTGGTTAATTTGACGACAGCGTAATTTATTAGGCAAGATAAATTGAATGGAGTCTATAATTTTCACAGAAATCGGTCAGCGGAAAAAAAAATTACAATAATATTAACATTATAACATTATGATAACATTATTATATAGGTAGTCACATTAAACTAATGCGTACTCTCAGTAATAGTTTTGTATATATTTTATATAATATTATTATTTATTACCATTATCACTGCCGCGTTGTAGCCTGTGACTAAAATAATTGAGTAGGCCACTGATTATTATAGAACAGTCATAGTCCTACCTCAAAATATAAGATAACATAATATTTTATTATTTGTTAAATAAATAGGCGTTATCCAACTGCGGAGTATGAACAGATGTTGTTGTGACACTAAATTTATGGATATATATATATTATAGGTATATACATTTGTTTTTCACATCGATTTATTATTTTAAGCTCTGACAGGTGACGATACGCTTTTGACATTATATTATAGTATTATACCACCTACGCGAGTCACAGCAGGCCACAGCTGCACTCGTCTGTTTGGTTTAGAAAACTATAAAGCTACAAATATAATCTAAGGGGACTTATTCATTATAACGCTTGCCATGATTACTGCCATTAAATAATATTATCATACTATGGATTGAAATTTAAACAACAAAATATATAGTTTATAATGCCATCATCACGGACTTACTATTATTGTAGAGACAGCAAAACGGCGCAGGATTGCAATCGACGGATATCCTACTCTAGTTTATTACGTAGTTGAGCATTTCTGGTTATTTGAATTACAAGTACCACAAAATAACTAAAATCGATATTTTTAATTTAATTAAAATAAAGTAAATTTAATTCAATTTTGTCAAGATATGAAATTCAAACAGGTATAAAAAATAATGATGAATTTTCGACATTTTTTAACTACTGTAAGAAAAATTAAGGAACTGTATAAAACTGTCAACATTCTTGACTAATAACCTAACTTTTACCATCATAAATCAAGAAAAAAATTTAACAATGTTAGCAAATTTCAACATTTCTATAACTACTATACATAAATAGCTTAAAAGTAATAAAATATTTTCAAAATTATATCAGTAATCCATAAAATACTAATATAAATATTTAGTGATTATTAAAAGCAAAATCAATTTTATCCAGAACTAAAGTTCTGTCCAAATTTCTATTTTTTCATATTTTGTTCGAAAAGTAGGTAGAAATTACTACTATAGAACTCCATACTTGTGATATCCTCAAATATGAAATTGATCAATTCGGTTCAGCAAACCGTGTTTTTGTTGTTCCTTCAAGCGATGTGAACCTGTATAGATTGGTATTGTGTTGTTGTAAAAATTATGCATACAATTTTATTTAACGATTAAATGCATAAGTTCTAAGGTCAAATACAGTTATTTGGAATTGATAATAAATTTATTCGCTGGTTTTTAACTTCTCGTTGAATAATAATTATATATTTACAGGAAGCTATAATACTATGTTTTTATTATAATTATTATTCTATATCCGTGATGGCATGAGCTATTGGGTGATCACAAAATAATTGCCTTTTAGGTAGGTACTTACGTACTTGTTAATTAGATTCATATAAAACAAGAAAATAATAGAAAAATAAAAGTATAGTTATATTCAGTGGTTTTCATAAAAAAATATTAGGGATTTACTAGTATTAAGGTGTTATAAATTATAGTTACCTAAATAAACCAAATAGATTGATACGCTTTATAATACACAGGCAATACAATCTAATATGTTTGGTAAGCCAGCTACATAAAATATAAAATTATAAGTTATATAGGTATGGAAATCTGTTATAATTTTAATATATAATATGTTGGCCCGACAATATATGATATATAGTTAGTACCTTAATAGAATATCTATATGCGAAGTAGGTAAGTGCTTACTACTTATAATATAATATATTATAAGTACGCAGGTTACACGGCTTACATTAAATGCAGTGCTCGACTTGGAAAAATTGATCAAAGTTAATCTACCTGTCCTTGAAAGTTTCAATCGAGGTTAGGCACTAATAGGCTCTCAGTGCTGGGTAAGGAGTGTTTGAGGGTGTTCATACTTTACCTATAACTCATTTTTTCAACTCTTTTAATTAGCTAGAGGATATAGCTCAAGTATTATACTGGTTTTTCGGTTTGCGAAAAAAGACAATTTTTTGTCTATCTAAATAGTTAGGAAATATGGTATTACATTTTTTACAAATACCTCTAATATTTATTAAAAAATACAAATATTTGGCCTGGATAACGTCGGTCGAGACAGTAAATTGTATAAATTGTATGGCAGTATAAGTAGATGTTACAATGATGATGTAGGCACCCAGATACATTGTGTTATATTATGAACAAAATAAATATAAGTATTCGTTTTTGGAGTGTTCAATAATATTATTGTTCATTATTATCTAAAACTTTGTAATCGTAAACAAATTGAATTGATTTTTAAATTTTTTCGTATATCCTAGACCCTAGGTTCAGTCTACATTGTTTTGTTTAAAATGAAAAAAACGTTTAAACTTTAAAGTAATACGTTTCGTCACAACTGTGTAAGATAATGCAATTACTACAGCGTTACTGCAAAAGTAATTTCGTTACAGTAATTTGTAATTTGTGTTACGTAATACTACCCAATACTGCAGGTACCCATCTAACTAGCATAAAAAAGTACATAAGTACCTACTCACCAGTTACCTTATATAGGTAGGTACACGAAAGTGGGAACAAGTACCTAATAAGTAATATAAGTAGTAACCTACTTAAGTGCCTATGACCTATCTGAAAAGTAATAAGTAACAACACTTTAATTATATACGAGTCGTAGTTACCTCCACGTATATATAATAGTAAAAACTTTTGATTTAGCGAGGAAATCAGTAAAAAAAAAACCCTCACAAAAAATGTTAATGTACCTAACCTATTCATCACGTCCTAAAGAAATTAAATGATTTTAATTTTAGGTGAAACATAGCAAACACCCCAAACCCAAAGGCTTATAGTTACGTAGATAAATTATTTATCTTCCTATGGATCGTGATAAAACGAAGGTATACCTACCTACATACTTAATGAAGATTGACACTATATATTTCATAATTGTATGCTACAATAATTAAATTATAAAACACAATTTAATTTTAATTTTTACCAATTATTCGTTTATTACTTGTTCGACAATATTAGCAGTGACAGGAATCCTTAAAATGCAGAATGGTTTTACTATTATCGACTTAACGAGTTACTTTTTATTTGAATCAAAAAACCTACAATAGTTGGTTTTCATTTTGTCACCGATATTTTGCAATTCAGAATTATGTTTTCCCAGTGTAACAAAATGTATCCATTGGTGATTGTTCATATTTTGTTATAATATCTTGTGTATAATTTTTTCATACCCGCAATTCTTAGGTGTAGGTGTGGTCGATAATCGATATGTATAATTATAGTGAACATTTGATAATGACTCAATTCCAAAACTTTCACGCCAATCTAAAAAATTCGGACGGAGCCCGTCACTACAACCTAGGAAAAAAAACACAAAACAGACGTCTGCGACCTCGACTCCCCCAGGACATTCTCCTAACGGATAGCGAAGATTCATCAGAAGACCCATAACAGAACACACTTACACTTTATATGTATATCTATAATTTTACTCAACTGTATCAATGTAAAAAATTATGTACTTTGTATAATCCAACCCACTGTTAAAAAAAAAAAAATAATACTTGTAATAGCACCCAGTGTGCTGAAACATTTTAAAGTTAAGTAAATAAAAAAAAAAATTATAGTGAACATTTATACCAATATATTCGTTAAACATATCTTGGTCCTTGGGTACACTAACTACAATGTTTGCATGAAAAAAAACTGGATTAAAATATAAAAGTAGAAAAAAATATTTTTTTATCCCTTTGCAGTTTGCCCGTTATGATTCATTTTGATACATTTTGTTACACTGGGAAAACATAATTCTGAATTGCAAAATATCGGTGACAAAATGAAAACCAACTATTGTAGGTTTTTTGATTCAAATAAAAAGTAACTCGTTAAGTTACTATCATACACTCAAAACTCACAAATAGTAGGTAACACACTTAGTTAGGTACAACTAAAAGTAGGTAGGTACCTAGTACCTACCTAACAGTCACAAAGTTACTGATTTTAGTAACTTTGTAACTAATTAGGTACCTACCTACTGCTCAGCTTTGTAGTTAAGGTACCTCGCGCGAGTCGCATCTTCCTAATAAGTAATAATAGTTTAAATGTAATGGTTGGGTACTTGGGTATAAAATGTGTCAATTTCAGATGTTTGAATACAATTCAAGTTTCAAACAACTCGTTTGTCGACAAGCTGTTATTTTGCACATAGTTATATCTATATTTGTTCCATTTGTTTCGAGCACGGTTATCTAATCTATACTATATAGCAGACAATCATAGTTCCGAAACATTAGACCGACGAAATTATGAATTTACGAAAACAAACACAAAAACTAACATATTTTCATATTGGTCACGGTATTTGATTATTTAAATTACCTCGATAGCTGTGTAGATATAGTTATTATTAATTATTCAATTTTATTGTATAGGTACCTATATTATAGATGTTAGACAACTTCTGTCGACTTGGGTGAAATACCTACTTTTAAAAAGTGCTTTGAATAAAAAACCTACCTACTCAAATGTTCTATGTTACCTTTGTTTTAAATTTTCAAACCTTAGCTATAAAAGTTGAACGTTTTAAACATTTTTAACCACTAAATAATTTGTACATTTTCAATTTAATGAATTTTGACAACATTTTTGAATTTTAAGCGGTTATAAAACAAATGGCACCTATGTATTTGTAGTATTGACAAATTTTACTAATACTGATCAGTGAGATTTTTTAAATAACAAGTGTCTAAGTTATTAAAATTCAATTAATATTAGCTTGTACGCAGGTTTTGTAAAATGTACTTTTGTTTTGTATGCAAATTAGTTATGTTAGTAATATAGTACCAACATTTGAAATAAATTAAGTAAATCATGAGCAAAATGATCAGTTTTGGATTTTATAGTTGTGATCTGGGGCTGACCTACAGAACTAAAATCCTACAAAAGCACTTCACTGATTTTTCAGTGTATATAATCTAAAATCCTTAATCCATACTATAAATAGGTAGGTATAATATAACTATAGCCCCATAATAGGTAGGTAATACTCTGCGCTAAATAATAATAATTATTATTGTTTTTCACTTTTTCATCTATAAATACAATATTATTGCATAAAAAAATTTAAAAATAAGTATGATATGAATAAAATATAAATAAAATAATAATATTATTATTATAGATACAATGAATATGTTTCTGCCAAAGAATAGGTTTCACAGGTGTCTATACTATGGTATTGTTAGTTGTTTAGTATACCTAACTATTTTTGATTAGAATATTAGTCATCATTTTTTCATTTTTAACTATTAAGTAAGTTGGTACCAACTACTTGCTTTATACTTACACATTTATATGTTTGTGGTATATTTGTATTATTCATTAAAATGTTTAAAAGCAGGTTTCTATTAGAAAAAATTGTATATGTTTAAATTTGTAAAAAAAAATTATATTGGAGTAGAGGCTATCAGTAAAATAAAGGAGTTATGTATAGGCAATTATTTAAGCTTGTGTTAAATCATGACTTTTGTACTTGTGAAAAGTAATTGAACATGTTTGAATTCCCTAGTTAATGTTAATATTCCAGGTATTCGAGATATCGGTGTACTTAGAATGTTTTGTTGGATCATTGACCCTTGTTGTAACAAAATTTACCAAATTATTGTTTGTACATAATTAAAATAACACCTGCAAGTTTACTACACAGATATCATCATTATATTATATATCTAGGTACCTATTACATTAATTTTCTTTTATTCATAGCTCAAAAAAAAGGCTTGGATTTTATTGCATTTGATAATTATAAAAGGATATGGATAAAAATTGCAGAGTGAGCCATAAATTTAATTGACTCAGCAGATCACTAGACACTAAATATGCAATATTATAAAGCTATTTTTTGCATATTAAATATACTTTATTTTACATTTTCATAGCTATGTTAGCTGATATGCTTACCATAATGATTTATTTTGTATTTTCATAACCTTCCTTAACTACCTCATTTTTTTAAATTTGTTACTGTGTTTATTTTTTTTTCGAGCAATATTATTAAAAATTAAATAGGTATATTGTTAAGTGTCATTTATTGGAATATTAACTACGAAAATAAATATAGTTAATTTAATTTAATTTATGTATGAACTATAGACCAATGGGTCAGCAAGTAATTTCCATGGGGCCTGGAAGATTAAAATAATAAAAAAACGAGGTCAAGAGAAAAAAAATATTCATATTTTTATAACACACATATGAAGACAAAAAAAAAATGTTTTTGTATAAAATAGTGTAAACAATAGTTGTTAAAAATTTCAGACATTTGATGAAACTTTGAGTTCATTTTAGCATTATTATTATACTAACTGAGCCAAAATATATTTGATTGAATTTTTACTGATTCAACATATTTTGCAATTGTTGTAATAGAGAAAATGTCTAAAATGTTTTCTCTCAATCATGACCCCTTATTATTAATTTGTAAAATAAAGTCTTAATAGAAAATATAATATAACAACATTGAAACTTTCACTCAAATCATAAAAAATATATGATATTAAATTATAGGCCTCGCTAGCTGAGGACACTTCACTCAAAAAATTAGTGATATAGTAGTTAATAATAAAATTACCAATAATCAATATTATGTTCATGATAAGCTGAATTAATAATTCTTAACTATAAGACACCCAAACATAATTTTTTAATATTAAATTATCCATTTTTAATAATATCAATTTATAAAATTAACACGTTCTTTTATGTTAAATAGTATTTATGATTAATCAGTATATTTTCAAAATAATACAATCTTTATCTAGGTACATAAAAAAAAAAAATTAAATTCTATAAAGTTTAAATTTCATATTTCATAAACTATTTAATATGTATATAATATAAGCAATACTATAGTTCTATTAAACCAATTTATTTCATATTGTATGGAACTAATTACATTTAATATTGTGAAGGGACAACAAAATAATGTTTCCTGTTTACTTAAAATTGTTTATTAACTTACCGACAACAGTAATACAAACAAATTAAACTTCTTTAACATATTAACTGTTTAACAATAGTAGTAGAATATGTATATAAATAATAACATAATGTATCTGTTATAATTTCATATAATGATAAAGCACTAAATAAAAATATTATTATTATGTCATAGTAATAAACTGTGTAACAATTATTATTTACCTATGGTAATACACGTTTAAACTTAGCAGTACTATTACAAATAATAAATACCTAGAAAAATAATGCACAGATCAAAAAACAAGTAGAAAAAAAAATTATAAAATAATAAATTGATGTGGGTACAATAGCAATAATAAAATTCATTTCGGCCAATATTATCATCAATTCAATCATATTAAAATGTAAATATTATTTATTATTTATATATAAAATGAACATAAAATGACTAGCCTAAATATCAATAAATATATTTAATCATACCAAACATACTGAATGGATTATAAATTAAAAATATGACAATATGATACAATAAATATTATCCTTGATATTAATCAGTATGTAAATAATTTTGGATCAGAATATTGGGAAATGATTAAAATACGTTTAACGGTTTTGTTAGATTAACACCTAGTTTCATACAATCCACTTCGCCCAATATAACGAACCCATTTGACGACATCATGATCAGAATAATTCAATTTTGGCTCGAAAACTTTTAAATATCTGACTTTGAATCCAGAAGGAGCAAATGGTACCTCAAAATTCATAGAAATTGGCGGTCTAGTCCATTTTTTCTTTGTGTCAGTCTCCAAAAGATCAATTTCAGCTGAGAGCTGTGTTTCTTTCATGCCCGCCATCCTCTTGATTTTCCACACAATTGCGTTATCTGAAGCCTTGTACTTGGCTTTGCCTTTTAGGCATAACAATTGAACTCCAGCAGTATTCAAGGGAGTGGGAATCTTGACTTCTATTTTCTGTCCCAACAAGGAGGGTTTGAAATTGGACTTCAACACAGCTTTCACTTCCATACGAGTACGCCCCACTTCTCTCACCAACGGTATAACCCTGAACGGCAATGATATATCTTTGGTAGTACGGTAACGCATCAACTCAAATTCACCGTCGGGCGGAATGAAGCTTATGGAATGTTCGGTTTCAAATTTTGAAAGTTTTACACACTGATGAAATTGACAGTCATCGATAACAACAACCGGCTTGCCAGAGGCCGTCCTCGAGCCCGTGTCATCAAGTATCTTGGTGCCCTTGGACTCCATGACGATCTTATCATTGATGCCGAACTTGCACTCGGGCATGCCGCTCAGGTAGGACTTCATGAGTATGCGGCCGGCAACGTGCGCGGACAGCACCTGTCCCTGGGGCGACATGAGCAGGTTGACATACTCGAGGACGTCGAGGAACAGCTCGTTGCGGCGGTACTTGATGCCCTCGCGCCGCCACCCGATCTGGCCAGTGACCTGGGACGTGATCTGCATCTGCTCCTCCTTGCTCTGCGACTTGACGCCCGTCTGCGTGATGAACGTCTTGAGCACGCCCGTGTCGCAGTTCTGCGGGTAGCCGAAGTCGAGTATCTCGTCGAGCAGCTCGTAGATGAGCACAAAGTTGTTCTTGATGTTCTCCTCGTTGATCTTGCCGAAGTACGACTGCATGACCTGCGTGAACCGTATGAGGAACTCGAACACCATGGCACCGTTGACGTTCTGCTTGGTGACGGCGGCCAGCCAGATGTTGGCCCGGCGGATGTGGAAGAACGACGTGCGCGCGATGTTGGTGACCGGCGAACGGACCTGCTGGCGAGCGTGTATGACGTTCACGCGGAACGCGTCCACGGCGTTGCGGCCGATGTCGTCGCGGTACACCCGCGATATGAGCACCTCGCCCTTGTGGTTGTACATGAACAGACCGCCGATCATGGCGACGCCTGTGGCCGGATACCTGTCGCCGGGGAGTACTTGCGGTGTTCACGGGGCGGGCGGCACGGAAAACTCTCGAGGGTAGGTCGTCGTACCGAGCGGGGGGCGCGTCAAGTGTGAACCGGAAGGGTCGTTGACTCGACGGTGTGACGAGATCCGCGGGAATGGAGACGCGGCGTTGGGGGTGTCGACGCGTTTCAGTCGGTCTGCTTCCTACTGGCCGCCGTCCGCTCCGCTCGGAACTATCGATCTATTGATCGTGTACTCGTGCGTGCGCGGCGACTCGACGTTTCCGTTATCAGCGCGCCTTGCTATCGCTCGCCTCCCCTGGGACACGACGTCGTGGAAGAAACGCGGTACGATACGTCTCGATACTACCGGCCCGCAGCAGCTTGCAGCAGCTGCTAGGGCGGTCGGTATCGGTTATCGTACCGTTGACCACGACGGTGACGGCGACTACGACGAATGCCGTTTACTCCGAATGTTGTGCTATCAGTTGTAGTTGTCTATGGCGAACGTGGTAGAAGTATCGAATGTGATAGCATTCGCGTTCAAGCCGTTTAAAAGAGTTTAAAAGAGTTTAAAAGAGTCACAAACTCACAAATCGGACGCAAAAAATTTATTTATTTTCATTTTGAAAGTTCAACTCTTGGAATTATGCTGTGGGCGTAACGTTTAAAAAAATTGAAATAATTAAAAAAATACGAGTGTCGTCATTGTTGGTTCGCGGTAATTGCCCTTCTTATAAGTGTACAATAATATTATGTTACCTACTCCTTTTTTTGTAAAGAAAACGTTAGTGGAAACAGAATTTTTCTCCAGTGTTTAGGTTTTCTTGAAATATTTAAAATGTATATCGAAATAAATCGACACGATCCATTACGGGCGTGGATGATTAAAAACCATCCGTCCAAACCAAACCAAAAGTCCATCCTTAGGAGTAGTTATGCTTATAAATAATCAAATTTATTCTGTTTTGTATGACTTAATGCTGTACACGTTAGAAATGAAAATAATGCTTACCCTACATCCAAGCAACTATTGAATACTGGATTCATCGATTTTATATTATTTTTAAAATAATGAAAAAGGTTAATTCATTTTTAATTATTAAAAACATAATAAATAAAAATCGACATTTTTTTTTTGGTGTGTATAGAAAAGAAAACTTGAAGTTGTATTACCTTCTCTAGTGTATGGATCTGAAGTTGAAGAAAGGGTTGAACAGAACAAACCATCAGTGTGGTAATATTCAAAAAGTCAGTAAAATATTAATAAGTTACAAATATAGTAAATTATAGTTTTCCGTTTAGTTTTGGACCGTCGCGTTGCTACAGTGGATGATTTGCCTGTGTACCAGTCTACAGCCTGTCAAACTAAGAAAAATAGTCAAACTTGCTGAAAAATATGCATAGTCGACATTAGTCGATACATACTGCCAAAGAAAATTTAATAAAAGTAATTATTAAAATTATAACTAAGAGAATGTTGTGTGTTGTCTCTGTCTAACTAGCACATAATATACTAAAATCTACGTTCAGCAGATCCAATTTTGAGTGGTTAGCTTTAATATTAGGGTGAATTGACCTATTATCAAAATTAAAGATAAGGGTATTATCCGTGTTCTCTTGTTAGATTTTAAAGATATTTTGATTTTTAAGTGAGTTATAAGTAGGGCTGAGGACTTCTAATTGTTTCACATTTGTCCAGAAAAACCTGTACATCGTGAGTGATGTATAAATATGTTTTATTGCACGAGAATATTACAATTAAAATTATTTGAGTATACTGGACAATTATTTTTTGATATTTATTGTGTTCCTAATGTCGACCTATGATATATAATTTTAATTTGTTATTGTTGGTTCAATTCACTATCTGACCGGTAACAATGCAACACTGAGTTGTGTAGGAAGTAAACTTCAGTTTTCCATCATAATTTATACTATACTGTTGTTTGGTTATCTTGCAATTAATTTTTTTCCATAAATTAATTGAAATATCAAATTTTGTACTTATTTGTTTTTGCATAGATATTAGAATTTAGGTACCATACAATATTTTTATACATTGCATTTTTTTTAGAGCCTATTTCAAGTGCACATTATTTGTTTTTAAATTCATAAGTGTGTATTTATTTTGAGTACTAGAACTCTACAGCCCTAGTAATGGGTGTGTAAATATTAATATTTAAAAATGCTCATAATTCACTAAAATTTTTAATATTTTATCATTCAAAAAATATGATTTTTATATTTTAGTATTTTAAATAGGTTGATTCACTTTAATATTTAAGCTTACTACACAAAATTGTACTGCTGAACGTACATCTTGGTATGTTATGCGTTAATGAACGGAGACAACATAGGTGTTATCTGGTTCAACATTCTCTTAAACAATGCAACTGATACATTATTAATCTGCTGAAAATAGCTTCTTAAGGTAATTAGTCATTGTCAAAACTCAACGGTTTCAATTTTTAATATCCCGGATTGGAAGATAATTTTACCATGTAAATCAAATACAATTTATTATTTAATATAAATTGATATTGAAAAGCTAATTTTTAAAACTGGTATAACAATTTTACAGTACAAGAATTAAAACCTATGGATAATCAAGATACATCAACACCTGCCATGATTCCTTATACATGGTTTAGTGGCCTATGTTCGGTACATTAGATTAACCAATTTTTCATTAAATCTAACATAAGCCACCTAAAGATATGCTGAAAAGTAAGAATACACTTAATAAAATGTTTAGACATATAATAATGGTTAATCTAAATTTATTTTCACTATATATATTTAATATTTTTGTTTCTTTATTTTTTAGGGAATAAGAAAGAAAAGGAAAGTGCCATAGAAAATAGTAGAAAATTAATACAATAGTGTTAAAACAGTTTGATATCCACGGGTATTTCCTTTATTACTAATGACCGGATTTTTATGCAAATTCATATTCTTCTACAATTCACCTAGAATTATTTTGATTCAAAATGTTGACTTTTTGTAATGTGTAGATTCTATGGTTACATTTAAAAAAAGAATATTTTTGCACATTCGGGTAAAAATGACTATAAATTGCATAAAAGTTGCATTTTTTTATTAATAGTTGATGGTTTTTGTTTTTTTTTTGATTTTTTGCTCTGATTCTCAAAATATATTTTCAAATGATAAATACATTAATTATTTAGTTTATTTATGCTTGACGACTGCACAAATTTCCAATTTCAAAATATAAAGTCAAATTTTTTAACTTCATGTTGGAATTCGTTCTAAAATTTATATTATATTTTCCGTTATTGCTCTTGCATTTATTTAATGAAACAGTAGGTATAGTTTGTACACATTTATAAGCAGCATACTGATATTCAAATTGTATTTGTTCTTCACACAATTTATTTTATAATTGTATAAGATGTTAGTTTTATTTAACTCACATTAAAGATTTTTTTTGCATATTTTTGTATTTTTATAGTGCATATTTAAAAATAATAAATCCGGGCCTAATTTATTGCTGATGGTTTGAATTATTTTATTCATCAGAAAATGTTCATGTCTCTATGGATTCAAGACGGTTTTTAATGAGGATACAAACATTCTAGGTTGAAGAAGATACATAATATTATAATTATAATATAAGAGATACTTTGAAAAAGTAATAGTTAATTCCTACAATTAAGACAGCCATTATATTTTAAATAAATGAAAAAGTTAGACATTTAAATTTAAAGTTAACTAATTTAATATAATTTAAATAACAGCTATATGTGTTTTGGATGTCAAGTACAAATTATACCATTACTTTTTATTTTTATGTTTCTAGTATAAGAAATATAAATTACAAATTATGTCGTGTATATGTTACTGGCAATGTGGTCCTGCCTGGGCTATGTAAACCATGAATTTTTTTGAACCAACTAATATTATTTTTTATTATTATTATAAATTATAATTATTACCTATTTATGGAATTGATTTTTTTAAAAAACAATCATAATTAATTTTATTCATGTATCATAATATTACAAATATTTTTACGGAATAACAAAGAAAAAATTAACAAGTATCATAATTTTATTTTTATAATATATTATAATTTTATTATTACCTATTTATTTGAATAAGATTTAGAAGCTTGGCACTTGGAATTATTTAGTCTGTTTGCTTTACATGAATTAAATTAATAATGGTTGTTTAAAAAAAAAATTAATACTATAAGTAGGTAATAATTATAATTTATAATAACAATAAAAAATAATGTTAGTTAGTTAAAAAAAATGTGTGGTTTACATTGCCCGTAACATATACATGGTTAAACATTTTGAATTTCTTATAGTGTTATAGTAAATTATTTTATTGATTCACATTTATTACCCATTTATGACACTGACTTTTAAACACCTCTTTCTTTATTACAACAATTGAGATAATATAATATTTACATAAAATAATATAACTAGAAATGTTAAGTCCTAAAAGCGGCTTCCATTGAATTGTTTCACAGGATAACAATTATAGTTATCGTGTAGATTTAAATCCTGTAATTGAAGGTACAATATTAAGTATTAATAATAACCGAAGACATGCTTAGAATAATGTATGAGTTAAATTGCTTACAACAAAGATAACCATTTTAAATATCGAAAAGAAAAAAAAAATGTTATTAAACTAATTTATATCATGTCTGTTAAATGTTCACGGGAATTGAGTAGATGGTATTCTATTGGTATATGATTGTAAGTAATCAAGTGTAGTACATAGTTAATGAATTTTTAATGTATAAAAAACATCTCTTAGTGTTAAAACAAAGGATATTCATAAAATTTGATGTACTTCAATATTGAAACTAAATTTAAGAATATTATATTACTTATCAACTCCTAATTATAACTTAACCAATACTATTTGTGCATAAAAATAGATAGATGTGTGAATCAGAAATAAGTCTTGTTTAAAATATTAATATTACGACTCCTTAATGAAAAATATATTTCTTTTAGTAATATTTTTTACTAAAATACAGATTTTTATATCATTAAAAAAGTAAATAACAGTGTACGATGTAAGTACATATTATATAATATAGACAACTTGGTTTTAGTAGGTATACTTATCAAAATAATGATTAACATTAGTTTATTAGTTGTGGTATTTGTTGTTTAATTATATATTTAGACAGTACTTGGTTTTTTTTGTACCCAGTATAGTAATAAATACAAAATAGTAATAATAATTATTACAGTGAATTGAGACCATTATCCTCTATGAAGATTATACATTTATATTTATTTATTTTTAAGTGAAAATATTGTTTATTATTTGTTATCGGTTCATGTATTTATTAAAAGCTTTTAGAAATTAATGACTATAGTTTTCCCCAGCCCGATAAGTTGAATTCTGTTTATTGACACAAACTGTAAATACAATTGTAAAATATTACTTTTTGATATATCTACTCAAATGATTGAAACTAATTTGAAGAATGCCCTTAAAAAATGTAACATATCATTAAATTTGTTAAAAATTGTTGTATTATTCATCATTCATAAATCATAATATGAAATAATATAATTATAATATATACCTACTAAGTAATAGGTACCTATACACATTTTTAATTAAAAATAATAATTGTTTGGTTTGGTTTTAATTTTTAAAATGTTTAATAAAATTATAATATAAATAATAAACAGTGTAGTTACACAATTATTATAAGTAGTATTTATTTTAAATATACTAATTTATAATTAACTCACAGTGTTTTGTTCAATTTGTTTAAAACTTATCCTGCATCCAACCTGATTCGGACACGGACAAGACACCAGTGTTGAAGAACTCTTTTTATGACGATAGTGAGGGATCACTGCAGTACTTACTCAATACCATTATGAATGCAATTTAAATACAATTTAACTGTTTCCGCATTACATATACCTAGGTACTAAATGGATTTATTGTTGATTGGTCAGCAATGCGCATAAGATTAATAGAAAAAATGTGTAAAAGTCATAAACACCATAGGATTAATTTTCAGCAACAGGTTTTCGAGTTTTACTTTCTAGTAAACTTTACTTTGCTTTACTTTACTCAGTTTACTCAATAGAATAGAGACATGGAGATAGAAAAACTCTACAAGCAAAATTAGCTTTAAAAAATAACTATCCTGACCATAACGGCAGCGCTGTCTGCCGTTGCTGTGTTCGAATATTCTACTCTCGCAAGACACTACATCCATTTCCGTTGGCAGATCGCGCTGCCACATACATTTTGGATTGTATTTAATTTGGTTCACTTACGTGTTTAAAATTATTTTCTGAATTTTATATAATAATATTTTTTGATTCCTAAAATTATATGATTGTTCTCCATTTAGCGATTTAAACTAGTCAACTGCACCGATGCTAATCTTACAAATTAATAAAAATATAAAAAAAACTTTTTGTACACATACATAAAATATAAATATAGTCTCGTAATCCTGAAGTTGTTGTGTCACCTTTATAATACTTCTACAGTCTACACACAACCTATTCATCCCGATTTGTGTAAAAAAAAACTATGTTTAAAAAAAAAATGTATTTATTAGTTATCACGGACAATTATTATAGTCTACATTTAGTTTACTATAGCTGTATGAAAAAAAATAAAAGCATTGCTCAAATAAAGTTTTCCACGGGACTAATGACTGTCCTATTGAATAATGAATATTATAATATTACAATAAATTATAAAAAGCTTAATTTAACTTATTTAAGTATATTATACCATAATGGAGGAAAACTGATTTTGTACAATATAACCTTATTATATGATTGCACCAAGTTTAATAACGTACAGACAAACGTGACTACTGTGTACGTATGGAAGCTTATAACCTGGTGATCCCCTTCGGCCTACACTAATAAACTAATAAGTGCTGGAGATTATGGTCATTTAATAGGTACAACTACATACCTTCGTAACTAACCAATTAAGCTAATGTACCTTGACTGTATTTACCTATCAGCTAGTAAGTACACTGATATCCGTTTTAGTAAGTACCTTATAACATATATTTAGGGCGTTGATTCAAATATTTTGATGTTTATACAAGGCTTTAAAAAACAAAAATGATTAAAACAAAAAATGTATAGTCATTTTACAACACTTTAAATAATGACTTTGAAAATTGTTTTTACACGTTAAATAAAAGTTATTAAAAAAAAAATGAATTTGCTTTTATAAATGTTCGTAATTTCGCGTCATTTCGATTGTTGCAAGTTGTATATAAAACGATCTATGTATATAATATTCTATATTATACTCGTATCTAATGTCAGTTACGAAAATGTTGTATTAAGTTATTTTTACTGACAGATGGTAGTTGTTTTTGTTGTTGTTTACTACCTATTAAAGTTGGCAATTAATTGTTTATTAGTTATAAAGTCCTATATTGAGAAGTATTTATTGTAAAAAAATATCAAAAAAATACTGATCGCGAGCAGCCGAGTTTAAATGGACCTAGGTGGTGTGTATAATAAAAACCTGAGCATTTAAAAACGAAAATATCACCGACACACTAACCATATACAGTGGTTAAATTATTCTAATAATTATTATTTCTGTAGTTTCTCTGCAGTGCACACTTTAGATACAATATACAACGATGATTATTATTTGAGTAATAGACAATAGTGAAATGTTTCAAGTTTTTACGGTGATTACATTTTGAATTACAACAAACTATCTAAAATCGGCAATCGTTTATTGAAAAATCATTATTTATCGTACGTATACTTACCCATATTATGAAACTAATTCGACTGGGAGGTCTCTTGGTTTTGTAGGTTCTTCTATTGTCATTATTGCATCCAATATTATCATTTATCACTAAGCTTATTGTTCAACTTATATGTAACAAATAGCCCAAATAAAAATTGTGTTTAAAAACAATTCATATGAATCCGATTACATCAAAATTTGTGCAGCCACGATGAACTCCAATTTTTTAATTTTATTTTGAATAATGACGTGAGATAATTTGTAAAAAAGCTAAACGTTTTCATTTATTCTTAAGACTTATTATTAAGTTCGAGATTGAAATACTAAAAAACGAAGAGTGACGAGGGCTGTAAAATATTTTCCTCTAACGGCTGAAAAAAAAAATTATCAAATTTGTTCAATTCTACGAGGCAGGATCATTATTCTTGTGTGCTTTTGTGTAACCTCTAAAACCGCTTCGGTACAGAATTGACAAATTTATTGGTATTAGAGGGATTCCAGGATACACGGAGTATAAGTAGGCAGGTATCTAAAAAGAAAAATACATACACACTCATTTGTAGTCAACTAAATTTATTGCACTAAAATTTAAATTATATAATAATAATTGTTGAAAAAAAATTGTAAACTACATTGCGAAGAACAATATTTGTATATTACTATTACTCGTATATTATGTAGAGTGTATATTATATTATTTGTATTATTATGACACATAAAAAAAAATTATATTTAGAATTGTACAAAGTAGAACAAAAATTAAATTAGATATATTTTTACTAATAATATTATCGTAATAAAAATAAGACTTAACATTTAAAACACAACATAAATAATGTTGTGAAGACTATATTATAATATTATAATATTATGATCCGATAAAACTTTACGCTATTATTAATAATTGTTATTAACACATTACACAGTGACTTATACGAATGATTAAAATTATTTATTCGCCTCGTGTCTTGCGGCAAACAATAACGTCGTATTAAAATATAATATATTGAATTTGTATAATATATCGAGTTGTAATAACTATGTTGTCATGATCTGTAGATAAACATGCTTTATTATCATTGCTATCGTTATCACGAACGTGGTCGGATCGTCTTAAGAGTGTTGGCAGAGTATAACATTTCGCACGGTCGCGTAGAGTTAGGCAAAAATACGACAGTAGGTACGTAGGTACGTGTCAATTATTACAAGACGAAGAACCTTGCCATGTTCGTGATCCGTCGGCTGGTCGAATAGTCACAATATTATTGTGAAACGGCGAGAAAAGAACGAAAGGAAAACCCACCTAGCGTATTATACTAATAATATCGTATTACATTATTGTACATTGGCATTATAGAGTTATCACAACGATAAGATACGAAATTCCAATGAACGATCCGAACGATGACGATATAATTATTAATAATAAAAATTATTATAAAATATGTGCGTAGTAAAATAAAAAGCGCTTTCTCGTAAAGTACGTGCCCAACTATAAATCAAAATAATAACAACGCCAATAATATTATAACATGAATGAAACGCACAGTATATTTTCGTTGTTGTTATTGTCAGCCATTACTGTTCATATTGTTGCTGTTATTATTTGTTTTAACTATGATATATTGTTGTTGTTGTTGTTGTTGTTGTTGTGGCTGTCGTAGCAAAAATAATGACAATTACATACAGAGATTACGAGTTGTTTTATTAAAATATTATTTCACGAATATAACAATATAATATGTGTGTCCATAGATTTTATTGTGACCATATATTTAAAAAAATAATGACTATCATGGTGTATCATCACTCGGCATGTCATGTCGCGACACGGAAATAAGCCAAAAAATGTTTGAAAAAAAAATGTTGATTGCGGCAACAGGTGGTGGTTGTTACTATGCATAATCATATTATTATTAATTTACGATCGCAGTAAATACTCCCGGACGGTCGGAGAACTTTAGAAGTCGAATGATAATAATTGTAGCACAACACTACAGATTCAATACCGGTCAGAGGACTAATAATAATTATAATACGCCTACAGAAAAAAATGAACGTGTCCGGGTAATAGACGGGCAGTTATAAAATAGTGGGCTGATCGAATGTGTCGGCGGGGGAAGAAAAGTAGTTGGTATTCGAATGCTTCGCGAGGCAGTTCGCGGGCAACAGGTATTTGTTTAGCATATTAATATTGTCAGTATTTTCTTAAACGGTCATCTACATAATATGGTCGGCGAGATTCACCTCGCCGACGTATTTGAGCAACGCACGCAAATCACTTATGATAATAATAATACGTGCCTATGTTATAATTATTATTATCCGTCATAAAAAAATAATAATCTGCGCGATCGGTAATTTGGTTTTTTTTCTTCTAACGCAGTTCGTTGCCCACCCATCGTGTACCCGCGTGTGTTATTGTATCATACGTATAATATTGTTACATTATGGTCTATGTCTATACATACATATACATATATATATATATATATCAATTTATATGTTTGATTGAGCGTGTTTTTTTTTTCGTTTCAAAAACCACAAAATCCGTTCGATCGATTTTTTTGACACGACAGTGTGTAGTTGTGGTGGGTGTGCTGCAACGATCGGCGGGCGCATTATTGTATTATAGTCTATAATATTTTATAATTATTAAAACATGGTAAACAAATTACGACGACGATGATAACAACAACAATAAAAGCAATAATAATAATAATAATAATAATAATAATAATAATAATAGCGTAAATGTAACTAGTGGGTTTTATATTTTGAAAATTGTAATGGTATTAATAATAATAATAATAATAATTAAAAGTTCTAACAGAGTCAACAATAAAACCGTAACGTTAGAACGATGAATAATAATAATATATAATTTGTCGTAAACAATAAAACATAATAATAATGTAATAAAAGCGGGTGTTTTTTTTTTTGTTTTTAATATAATATAGTTTAATATAATAATATATTAATATATCGTACCTATTTAAAATTAAATATAAATTGTATCCGTCAAATATAATTATTCGAAAATCGAAAGTACTTTATAATACCTATCACGCGTCTGCCCGTACTTACTAGTTTTCAGGCGATGTGACGTTTTGTACAAAACGTAATATAATAATATAATATTGTATCATCTCTCATTTCTAATATAATATATATTATATATATTTATATATTTTACAACGATATAATATTTTACTTTTCATTAATATTAATTGAGTTTTTTAGGTTTTCACTGAAATACATAATGTGTGCACAAACTTGAAATGTACATAATAATATCATTATCAAACAATGTCGAATCTCGTTTTACTCGAAGAATTTATATGGGTACAAGTGGTGTGGGTACAGATCAGACGACGAAATGTGTTCGATCGGGATTTCGTGTCTGTGCGGATTGAGAAAAAAAGAACCGACAGTGTCTTGGTAGGTAGGTAGGTAGTTTTGGTTTCGGTTTTGGAGCGAAAATTCTACAGAAGGGACATGGCGCGTTGCGAACAACAAGACGTGTACGTAGGTACTTACGTTTCGATATTTTATAATCATTACACTTACTAAAATAAATGCGTAAATTCTAATGTCTTTTTTTTTTTCTTTTTTCTTTTTTTAATTTTAATAATAATAATATTGTTAATATTAGTATAATTCTACACGTTTTTATTGTTATTATAATTTTTATTTTAAAAACTTTATCGAACAACGTCGTCAAAGTCGTGATGAGCAAAAATATTCGATTCATTTGATTCACGGCAAAGTGTGTAAATTAGGTTCGCGTATATACTGGCGCGTGTGTGTTTCGTATATTATGTTAGAAATTATAATATATTATATTATATATATACATGTAGGTATATACTATATAATATCATCGATACCCATGTGGTATTATGGACATACACATACGACTTCAAATTATACAATTTATAAGTACACTTATGTAATATTATATAATATATCTGCAGTTGTATATTATCGTCGCTCTTGTGATTTAATACATTCGTATCAACGAATATTCGATTAGGTGACGGGTTACTGGGTAAAGAGTTTATGTTTTATCGATATATAAGAGATATGTGTAGAATTATTCTCGTTAACAAAAAAAAAAAAAAAGTATAAGAATAATGAAATAATATAAAATAAAAGATAAAATAATGATATTTAAAAATTAGAAGAGTAGTAATAATTATAATTATGATAATATTAATTATATAATATGAAAGTAAAACGAGAAATTCTTAGAGTCTGTTGGATTCGGTCATCCCGTTGACCAGATAGTCCTGGTTGTCCATTCTCGCATCCTGGCTAATTCCTGCTCCGCTGTTCAAGGCCATTTTTTTCATCTGCCGCACCACCGTTGTCGCGTGGTATGCTTGCTGCAATCAGTAAACATGGTACAATCGGATTATACACGGTTATCGATAGTAATGATAGCAACAAAAAAATATAATCAAACATTGGGTTTTTAATACTCCTCGGTGGCTTGAAAAAATATTCAAAAACGATTCCTGCTTTATAATCTACGCCCAGTGAGGAGGCGAATGGAGTTTTTAAAGAATCTAATTTGGTTTGTATTCTAAACAGTTCGATTTTTGTCCAAAGGTACTCTGTCTCGAGGAGAACAATCAGTCGGCTGACCGGTTTACGCCAGTGCCACCGACTTCCAAGTGTGATCACGTGGTTCTCGCATCATTCACGACGCTCAAAAATAGCGATTGATCTCTTTCGAGACAGAGTATAGATTATACTATTGTATTCGGATCTGATTACTCTGTTCTAACTTAGAGTTCAATACTCACACGGTCACACTAATTATGATGGTTTACTAAAGGTACTCACATATACGTGTAAAAACCTTTTCGAAAGTCCGCTATCTAATCTGCTCGAAAATTAAGGATATATATAAATCAATTATTTCCTTGAACGCAAACCATCGGCTATACAGTGCTTTTATTATAATATTATGTCGCTACGTCATAAGTTGGGGCTAAGTTTTCTTCATAATAATATTCAAAAAAATGTTTATAATGTAAAATGACATTTATCGCTAAAAACATAAATTAAAACACGCTGTGTGTTGTCCAATGACCGATAGTTGATGTACAATTTTCTAGTAAATCATTGCAGTACACTGGACATAGATCTTATTCGTTGTTTAAATAATAATATGATGTTATTGTATAATGTAATTAGACCAGTATTTTATGTTCAATTTTGTTAAACGTAAAATGCCGTAAAAAACGGAACACTCTATAGTGAATACAAACTGCGTGGGTACTACATAAGATAATAATATATGTACCTACCCATATTGAAACACAAACATTGCAATGATTGATAAGGTAGACTTAAAACTAAAATATAATGTAAATTTGTAGTTATAACATATTAATACATTAATATTTGTTGGTACATGTACAAAAAAATGTGAAACTACGCACTATAATGCCTATTGTATTGTAGGTATAAACTATATTAGGTACACTATAGAGGCAGTATTATTACTATATAATACTAATTACTAATTACTGCATTCATCTCAAAACCACCTAGTTAATCAGACAATAAGTGCATGCAAGATGAGATGCTTTTCTGTATTAAAAGCTAATATTTTTCGCGCATTTACGGTGAAATTCGTTTTCGGAAAAGTCATCGTCGTCGGGTTACACAATAATAATCTCGAAAACCGTGTAATCCACTTAATTGATTATACTTGAAAACTTATCAAGAAATATTGTGTTGTACGCGCGTATTCGTCTCATAATTTAGAACTTACAACTTACATTGAGTACTCGTAATATAATTATAAACTAATTCATTTAAAAGTTAAAGTATTAACTTATACTTTGCTTTCATCGAACTGGACCATTCCCGGACGAGAACAACAACGGTGGTATTTTAATATTTAATCATTCTCATATTATTTTTATCAGTCATCAAATATTCATAATAAGTCAGCACAAACGGTTCAAATTATCGGACGAGACTAAGCTAAATAATTTTATACCGGATTGGTACAAAGCAGGCATAATGAACTACTTGTTGGATAACATTTTTGATTTTTCGTTTCCCGTAACAGTTCACGGCTAGTTATAACTTGAAAATTACTAATAAAATAACTTTTAAATTGGTCAAAAAAAAAAATCACATTAATAAATATTCAAATATATTGTGAATTAAAATGATTGAAAAAAACCCAAAACTATAAATAGTTTTAGATACATCGAATAATGTTATAAACCGACACGCATAAAATACCTCTCGAGGGAATTATTAATCTAAATTAAAACCATAATATGCACTTTTACGAAAACACGTGTTTAAACCATGCGATTTTTTCTTAAGACTGAAATCTTTTTTCGGAGCACCGACAAAATGTACAATATTCATTCCTTCGACATTTTTAATATTTTTATTCCCACCCGACGGTCGAAACGACTGTTGTTTTCTCATCAGAACGAGTACGGTTCACAATATACTTTATGTGTTTGTACGGTTGTTGTTATTGTTAATTAACGAGTCGGGCAAGGAGTGAATTATATTGCATTAGCTTATATCTATCTGTTCTGCAAGGGGTGGCCCAAGGGAGTAGTAGTTCAGCGGTCGACGGAAATTCAGAAAAATAAACCTACCCCTAACCTCAGACACGGGTTGAGCCTTAAGCATCGTTTAGCATAATATGTCGTCTCTCAAGTACTATGATTCGGACGTTATCTTTGGTCGTACTCGTATATAATTTGTTTTTTCTCGAGATCACCAGTACTCATAAATGGTACCTACGTCGACTAAAAGGTTCATGTGGTTATATCATAAGCTGGTTTTTAATTATTATTATTATTTCGAACACGACGACATGAGCCATGAAGACACGAGAGACACTTGACAGATTTTTCGAGTATAAGATTGTTCGATCGTATTCGGCTTGGAACTCGAAACATCGAAGGAGATAAAAATCTTGTTCTCCGTTCGTATCTTTCAAATTTAAAGTCATAACGTCCATTTGGTGCATTGTGGTTATGATATATTATCTTCAATAAATTTATCAATAAATTACAGTTTAGTTAAACGAATCATTAAAGAAAAGAAAACCTTACTTTCATTAGCTATGTTTTTACAAAAATTATTAAATAATTCTGTAGATTGTGGGACTTATGGGACAACTAGATTTATTATATTATATTAATTATATCAAATTATATTATATTTACATTTATTTAGATTATAATTTTATTTATTAGATTTATTAGACTTATGGGACAATTGGATTTTCGAATTAACACTGAACTCAGGCACTAGAAATAAAGATAGTTTTTTTAATTAGTAATGTCTCTAAGACTTATTTATGATGATTGCCTGCAAATACATCGATGCCAATGGAAATGTATTACGGAAGTTAATTTTAATATTATCCGTACTATAGCAACTGGTTTTTTTTGTTTTGTAATTTTTTTACATAACATAGAGATATGACGATGTAGAGATTGAGTTTTCTCTGTACATAAAGAAATAATAATTATTATTATTATTATGGTACGCGTATGGCGTAGGTATAAGAAAACTATTATTATTAGGTTTTTTTCGGTTTAAAAGAAAATTAGGTACTTACGTATCGAATTACGAACACTACACGATACTAATTATCATTAGGTAATATTGGTAGCTACCTATATACATAATATTGCATTTTTGTTTTACATGTCATGGTCGATATGCAGCTGCAACTGCATTATAGGCGTACCATACTTGTTAAAAGTGCATATCCGTGCGCGACCTAGAGCAGCGATTAATTACAGTGTACGTATAGCAAGTATCGTGGTCGTATACGAATTAAATAATGAGTGAGTGAGTTTACTTATACACAATATTAAAATAATATACCTATTAAACAGAGTGGGTCATCGTGATTACACGACGTTTTTCAGCGTCAACTATAGTAATATAGGTATTAAAAACAATAAAACATCATGTTGGTCAGGGTAAACATGTTTTTAAATTATTTTGTTCTTCGCAGAGCCCATTAAACATTATTTAAGGTGATTTTACAACTCGGGATCTGTATCGAAAATAAATTCTAAACACATATAATATTATATTATATCGGGGCACGTGATTGATTACAATGCGCTGCAAACTTGTAACAACGTTAAAGATTAAATAATTTATAATTTATGGTTAATATGCATTATACGATTTGAATAATTTACTATGCACACTGTCTACACTAATTTATATTAAGTAATTAAAATACCATAGCATCTACGATCGCCGATTCGCGTTGATGGCCAAACAAGTGAATATTTTAAAATTAAAAATCTATGACGTTAAAAATTAAAATATTATATAAGTATATATACATATTTAATAATCATGCATGTACAGGACGATTCTCCAAACACGACCACACCAATTTTATCTTTTAATAATATATTTTTTTTCAAAAATTCCGAATATTTAAATGAAAAAAAAAAATGAAAGAACATATTTTAACTAGGCACTTACTTGAATTTTTATCATATTTTAAAGGTAGTGTCACAAACTTATTTTTTTCATTTAGAAATCCCGTTTGTCCTATGTAGAGTGTGAAGCGAATACTTTTTTTGTTGAAAACGTTGATGCATCGAAGTGAAAATTTGAACGAGGGGTTTTTGAGTTACGGATCTTTAAGTTTAGGTACTAAGTTATATTTAGTATAGTGGTTATTATACTTGGACTAGTGGTGTGCCAAAAAAAAAAAAGAAATTGGTGTTGCTAAAATAATTTTAAGTAATTATACCCACAGATAAAATGTCCTATTTACCTGCTAGGTACCCACCCACCCACATTTAAGGTGTTGTTATATATGAGCTTCACTTGGAACCAATGATATACACGCTGTTTACTCGGGCAATTCTTAAATTATAAAAAACGTTATTTAATATAATTTTTATACAATCACAGCGCCCGACGCATCATACAAATCATGGATCAAAAATATTTCTTTTCCAAACTCATAAGTCATGGCAATGTATAAATAATAAAACTCCTAAGTTACAGTGATTATAACTATATATAGGTATAACCAAGGCTGGGAAAGTTAATTATTTTTTTTAACTCGTTAAGTTAAGTTAAAAGTCACCTAATACATTTTTTATAACTTCGTTCACGGATAAAACAAATTAACTAAACTAAAAATTTTAAAATTTAAATTTGGAAATTGTTTTAAACTCAGGGTTCGGTGTGTAGCAGTGGCGTAATTTTGGTCATTTTTGAGCGGGGTGGGAGGAGATTGATACATTTAAATGAATTGTAAAAACATGTCCAATGTTCTTATTGGAAATATGTTCATAATTTAATAAGTCGATTATTAAATAAACAGTAAATATAATATGTGGGCAAA